TGTCGCCCCTCAGTCGCCTTTTTTTCAGGCTAAACCCGCCCAGCTCCCTCAGCCACTCCTCATAAGACTTGTTCTCCAGACCTTCACCAGTTCTGTCGCCCTTCTCTGGACTCTCTCTAGCATCTGGCTCTTGTAGTGAGGGGCTCAAATCTGAACACCGCGTTTGAGGTGCGGCCTCACCAGTGCTGAGTACAGGGGCACAATCACTTCCCTACCCCTGCTGGCCACGCTGTTTTTGATACAGGTCAAGGTGCTGTTGGCCTTCTTGGCCACCTGGGCACACTGCTGACTCATACTCAGCCGGCCATCAACCAACACCCCCAGGTCCTTTTCTGCCTGACAGCTTTCCAGCCCCTCCTCCCTAAGCCTGTAGCGTTGTCTGGGGTGGCTGTGACCCAGATGCAGGACCCGGCACTTGGCCTTGCTACACCTCATACAGCTGACCACAGCACATCGGTCCAGACTGTCCAGGTCCCTCTGCAGGGCTCTCCTACCCTCTCCCACACTCACAGAGCAAACACATCCTTGACAGTGGCATTTACCCTACTCCTTATAGATCCTAGCCCAACAGGGAAGGGGTTCTGCTCTCTACCTAGCCAGGGTGAACTGGGATTGGCTTCCAGAAGGACAGTAGAGCAATATTGCCAGCTGTGTGGGGCAGAACACTTGTCTTCCCCCCTTGGCTGCGGAGCTGAGGCTGGTAGAAGGGCCCTGCCATGCTCTGAGGATACACTGCTTGAATTGATGGTGTGTAAACAGAGAACTTTGTGTGCCTCTCTTGCTGTAGCCTGATTCCTGTCCTGAAGGTATCTTCATTTGCTCACTAGAAACCTTGGATCAGGCTTTGATTCTCTCATAAACCAGGCACAGCCCCTGGCTTGTGCTTTCTTCTGCTCACCCTGCCCCCTCCATCTCTTCTCCCCCAGCAGCCCCTCTGTGGACAGGGGCAGGTTGCTGTGGAGATGGGGCACAGTGGAGGACAAGGAACAGCTTGTAACCCAGGGTGTTAGGTGCGGTCCCTCAGCACCCCAAGCAGGTACTCGCAGGGTGTAGGAGTGCACAGACTGACATGTTGTTCCAAGAAGTGTCACAACGCACTTCTGCTGGTCTTTGTCTTGTTTGGCAGGTCCTGTCAGGCAGAGCTGTCCTCCCGGCTAACCCGAGGGCAGGCAGTGGGAGTGCTGGACACAGAGGGGCAGCTGGGCACCGGGGAGAGCCGGCGGCCTGGTGAGCGTCCGGGTGAGGAAACCTTATCAGACTACAGAAGTGGGTGCAGGGGGTGGGTAGGAGAGGGAGACCCCAGAGCAAGCCATGGGCTTGTCTTTCATTGCTGAAACAACAAAGTTCAATTGAAGATTTGGAAACGGATGAGCAGCCAAACCCTTAAATTTAATGTAAAAACTCATGCTTGTGGACAGCATTTAAAGCACCCAGGGTGTTTGCACTTTAACTGCAGCAGCTTCTTAGCAACTTCTTATTCTTAGCAAGTGGGAAGTTCTGGGGTCTGGTAGGTGTTTGTGGCACCCCGTGGCAGCCCTGCTTTGTGAGCCTGTGGCTTCCCCTTCCTGTGCCGCAGCGGGCAGGCACCTCCGGTGTTACCACACGGGGCACTAGAGCAAGGTCTGAGTCCGAATCCATGGCTGGTTCCCTGATGCAGTCGGGGGACTGTGCTCTTCAGGCCCTGGGGTAAGCTGCTGCACGAGGCTGGCAGGCTTGGCCCACCAGCTCCTCATCACGAGGAGCAGGTGATCCTGCTACCCCGACGTGCTTCCAGAGAGGTGCTCTTTGCTGCTTGTGTTTTAAAGTGAGACAAGTAGCAGACCTGTTGATTTCTGTCTACTGCACTTAACCTCTTTGAGATTATTTCAATATATAACCCAACCAGTATTAAGAAAACAATATTCTCAAGTGGTAGAATTACCAGAAAAAACCCTCAGTTTGTCACTGGCAGTTCCAGCTCTCTTTCTGTGTGATTCAGACCCCTAACTAGAGCTGCTTTGGGTGTGAATGTTTCATGGCAACACCAAACCCTTGTCTCTGCTGTGTTGCAGAGGATGTGCAGATTGACTGTGTGGTTCCTCTTTCTTGCAGTGCTGGAAGGATGGCCACCTTCCTTGAAGTCTCTGAGCTTGCCTGAGCTGTCAGCTGTCCTAGAGGAGTGTGTGGGAGAAATGGGTAAGGTGTAGAAGGATGTCAGTCATGTGAAGGGACTGCTGTGCTGGAGGGAGGTGTGGCTGGGCAGGTTTTTGATGATTTGGCAGTAGTAGGTTGGAGGGATCCAACAATCTCCCTCATTCGGGGAGTCTTCAGGGTATGAAGTTGGTGCTGGCATTGTCTTGCCCTTAGTCTCACTGCAGCTCTTGGGCTCTGCCTCATCCTCTGCCAACGAGTCCGGCTGAGAGAAGGGGGTACGTGCCCCCAGCATCTTTCCTACGCAGCGGTCAGAGCTGCTGGTGAAGTGATTCCCAAAGCCTTTTTCCTGTTACCCTGATGACAGGAGCTTGTCCCAGCAACAGGCAGGCAGAGAGTAGAGATGATCCCATCTACTCTCTAGTAGACAGAGCTGCAAGGGAGAAGGCAGCATGGAGGCAAGAAAACAGTGACTGAATGCAGGCTGCAGCCTGATCTCTGCTGCTTAGAATTACAGAAACTTTTAGGTTGGAAAAGACCTTTAAGATCATCAAGTCCAACCGTTACACCAA